TGCTGCGCCTGCGCGGCGGCATGCAGATCTTCGTGAAGACACTGACGGGCAAGACGATTGCGCTCGAGGTGGAATCCAGCGACACCATTGAGAACGTGAAGGCGAAGATCCAGGACAAGGAAGGCATTCCACCGGACCAGCAGCGCCTGATCTTCGCTGGCAAGCAGCTGGAGGACGGCCGCACGCTTGCAGACTACAACATCCAGAAGGAGTCCACGCTGCACCTTGTGCTGCGCCTGCGCGGCGGCATGCAGATCTTCGTGAAGACACTGACGGGCAAGACGATTGCGCTCGAGGTGGAATCCAGCGACACCATTGAGAACGTGAAGGCGAAGATCCAGGACAAGGAAGGCATTCCACCGGACCAGCAGCGCCTGATCTTTGCTGGCAAGCAGCTGGAGGACGGCCGCACGCTTGCAGACTACAACATCCAGAAGGAGTCCACGCTGCACCTTGTGCTGCGCCTGCGCGGCGGCATGCAGATCTTCGTGAAGACACTGACGGGCAAGACGATTGCGCTCGAGGTGGAATCCAGCGACACCATTGAGAACGTGAAGGCGAAGATCCAGGACAAGGAAGGCATTCCACCGGACCAGCAGCGCCTGATCTTCGCTGGCAAGCAGCTGGAGGACGGCCGCACGCTTGCAGACTACAACATCCAGAAGGAGTCCACGCTGCACCTTGTGCTGCGCCTGCGCGGCGGCATGCAGATCTTCGTGAAGACACTGACGGGCAAGACGATTGCGCTCGAGGTGGAATCCAGCGACACCATTGAGAACGTGAAGGCGAAGATCCAGGACAAGGAAGGCATTCCACCGGACCAGCAGCGCCTGATCTTCGCTGGCAAGCAGCTGGAGGACGGCCGCACGCTTGCAGACTACAACATCCAGAAGGAGTCCACGCTGCACCTTGTGCTGCGCCTGCGCGGCGGCATGCAGATCTTCGTGAAGACACTGACGGGCAAGACGATTGCGCTCGAGGTGGAATCCAGCGACACCATTGAGAACGTGAAGGCGAAGATCCAGGACAAGGAAGGCATTCCACCGGACCAGCAGCGCCTGATCTTCGCTGGCAAGCAGCTGGAGGACGGCCGCACGCTTGCAGACTACAACATCCAGAAGGAGTCCACGCTGCACCTTGTGCTGCGCCTGCGCGGTGGTGTGATGGAGCCGACACTTGAGGCCCTGGCGAAGAAGTACAACTGGGAGAAGAAGGTATGCCGCCGCTGCTACGCCCGTCTGCCGGTGCGTGCGTCGAACTGCCGCAAGAAGGCATGTGGTCACTGCTCCAACCTCCGCATGAAGAAGAAACTGCGGTAGTCTGCGATGCTGTGGACCGACGCATTGAAATACACACCGTCTTTGGCGTTCCTTTTTTTTTTTGTGATTTTTTTTTTATTGAGAGGATGTTTTGTTTTGTTTTTTTCAGGTTTTATGATATCAGCAGTTTGTCCGCCTGCATTCATGCAGTGTTTGGTAATTCTTTCTATTTTTTGGAATTATGGCGATAATATTCTTGTCTTTAAACTTCTTATAACCAATTGTGCTTTAGAGTTTCCTGCTTAGTTGCTATTAACACATTGTTAGGAACGTGAAACCATGCAGATCTTTGTGAAGACACTGACGGGCAAGACGATTGCGCTTGAGGTGGAATCCAGCGACACCATTGAGAACGTGAAGGCGAAGATCCAGGACAAGGAGGGCATTCCACCGGACCAGCAGCGCCTGATCTTTGCTGGCAAGCAGCTGGAGGACGGCCGCACGCTTGCAGACTACAACATCCAGAAGGAGTCCACGCTGCACCTTGTGCTGCGCCTGCGCGGCGGTGTGATGGAGCCGACACTTGAGGCCCTGGCGAAGAAGTACAACTGGGAGAAGAAGGTATGCCGCCGCTGCTACGCCCGTCTGCCGGTGCGTGCGTCGAACTGCCGCAAGAAGGCATGTGGTCACTGCTCCAACCTCCGCATGAAGAAGAAACTGCGGTAGTCTGCGATGCTGTGGACCGACGCATTGAAATACACACCGTCTTTGGCGTTCCTTTTTTTTTTTTTTTTGAATTAAAATAAAAAATTTTGTTTTCTTAAGTTTATTTTTTTTTTTTTTTTCTGAATTGTATTTGGTGTAGTGGCTTTGGTTTTGGTATCTTCCTAGTGGAATATTTGAGTTGTTAAATGTGTCATCTTCTACTTTTTGTGGTTGTTGTTTTTCTTTCTTTTCCTCCTGTAGTTTTATTTTCTTTTTTTTTTTTTTTGTTGTTGTTGTTGTTGCATATTTGAAGGTAGGTTTAGTTGTGTGTGCGTGTGCGTGTGTGTGTGTGTGTTTCCATATTCCCTGTTTAATTCCTATTGTTAGAAGGGTTTTCATTTGTCAATCTCTATTTTGTATCTTGCAGTTGTCTTGAGAAGAACAAAAGGGATTAATTTGTTTGTTTGTTTGTTTGTTTTAAAGGTGAGAGGTGAATTATACGTGTAGGGAGGGAGAGGGGTGGAGGGAGTGAGTTTTGTTTTGTTTTTTTGTTTTTATCTTTTCCTTCCTTTTTGGTTTGTTTGTTTTTTTTTCTGGGTGTGTGTCTGTCTGTACAACACTCACACACAAATTGTGTATGCTAGGGGGGTTGGTGTGAGAAATTAACGGGTATTTATGAAGTTTAAAATGCCTTCCTGTGTGACTTGCTTTTGGAGGCCTTTTCGTAGACGTTTGGGGTGTAAAGATACATCTTCAACGTCTTTTTCTTCCGGATCTGCAGAAGCGACAGGAATGGTCTCCGGAGCAGATCGTGAGGAAATGGGGGGAAATTGCAGTACAACCACAAGTGACAGCTCCGTATCTACTTCATTTGTGGAGGTAAACCTTTTACGAGAAGACCTTAATGCAACACGGGATTATCCTGACAATTCTATTCGCACTGCCAAGTATACATGGTTGTCATGTTTTCCTCTTAGCCTTTTGTATCAATTTCAAAAGGTGGCAAATATATACTTTTTGATTGTGACGTTACTTTCCCTTGTTCCTGGTGCCAGCCCTGTTAATCCATTTAGTACAATTTTGCCGTTATGTATTGTACTCGGTGCTGCCATCATTAAGGATCTTTGGGAAGATGGAAAAAGACGGCAGTCGGACGACTGTGCAAATAACACACTTGCGTTTGTCTTACGTGGAGAAAAATTTGTTTCCGTACCAGCCTGCTCTGTTCACGTGGGCGATGTGATGCTATGTAGGCTTGGAGAAGAAGTATTAGCAGATGTGGTGATGCTTAATTCATCCCATCCTGGGGGTGTTGCGTATATTGAGACTGTCAATCTTGACGGTGAAACAAACGCCAAGACACGACGTGCAAAGCCTCAGACAATTGAAGCACTTGGAACAATAGAAGACATTATTGAAAGTTCTCTCCCGGATCCTGCAATTCAGGCATATTTTATGGAACGCGGCACAACGGCATCGTGGAATGCGGTTGCA